GTAACATGAAGCGCTGCTCAACGACTCATTGTCTTATAGACCTCCTAAATTTCTTCTATGAGGGAGCTGAGAGGAAAAGCACTGTTGGCACATTAATACTAACTGACTTTTCGAAAGCATTCGATAGAGTCTGTCACACCACTGCCATTAACAAACTTATATCCATGGGCACAAGACCCTCACTGATCCCCTGGCTCTGTAGTTTTGTGTCAAACAGAAGGCAGCGTGTTAGGTATCAGGACTCTATATCGAGCTGGGAAACACTAACGTGTGGAGTGGCCCAAGGTACTCTACTGGGCCCACTGGTGTTCCTCGCCATGATCAATGACGCAAAACCTAATACTAATAATCCACACTGGAAGTATGTCGATGACATGAACCTGGGAGAAGTTAGAACTGTGTCAACCCCAACTAAACTTCAGACTGACCTTGACTCATTGGACACCTGGGCCGAAACGAACTCCATGTTACTTAACCCCAAAAAATGTAAAGCAATGTATTTCTGCTTCATGAGAACCCCCCCAGTAATGCAGCCACTGACTCTCGGAGGTCAGCCACTTAGCATAGTTACACAAGCAAAGTTACTTGGTTTGCACATACGCTCTGACCTACGGTGGTCTGATCAAGTTGACGCCATGGTGTCCAAGGGCAGTAGAAGGTTATACTTATTAAGTAGGCTGCGTCGAGCTGGCCTCCCAAGCTCTGACCTTGTCACAGTGTATTGTGGGTATATTCGACCAATAGTTGAATATGCCACGCCCTGTTGGAATGCGGGTATCACAAAAAAACAATCTGACAGCATAGAAAGAATCCAGAAAAGGGCATGCAGAATCATGCTGGGTAGAAGCTATCACTCGTATTCCGAGGCCCTGTCAACTCTTGACCTCCAACGTCTGTCTGAACGGAGACTGACCCTGTGCCGGGCCTTTGCCCTCTCAGCCACTAGGTCTAGGCACGCCCCCTGGCTACCCCCAGTTAGTAACCACTCACACAACATGCAGCTAAGGCAAACACGGCGCTACAAACCACCCATTGGGACAAAAAGATATTTATGCAGTCCTGTCCCCACAATGCTGAACATACTGAATAACCTTGCCATACAGTAGATTTCATTTTATGTTGTTGCACATGATGTAATTGTACTTTTTTATTATTGTCAGTTGTACCTAAGTAATTTGCCAACAGAAGTTGTATGATGTAATTTTAGCATAAATGTGTATTATTCTAGCGTATAAGTGGTGTTTAATGCCTCTCAAGGCACTTTTTATGTATATATATTATGTATTAGTCATGTAATTTTTTAAAAATTTGTAAAAGCTTCTCAATTCAGCCTTTGGCTGCAAAAAGCTTCTAACCTACTGTACTATGTATGTATCAAGTATGTGTTTCTGCAAATAAACCAGTCTATATACAAAATGGTTGCAAAATGAGCAAAAATATACCGTAAGTTACAAAAAAACCATGCCAATGTCGTAGAATGCCAAAATCAAACGGAAAAAGACGAAATTGTAAAGAAATGAACTTGAAGACTAGATTATTCGCCAAACCATATTCTGTCCCATTTGTTCAACCCTCATTACCATGTAGATTTCATAATGAACTTTTTTTTTTGCAAAAATTTTTTTTTTATTCGCACGCGCGCATCAATTTTGGGGCTCCCGGAGGATGTCATCCATATAATCAAATCAACATGGCCTTATATTCAAACTTTAACAACCATTGCATAGAAAATGTCGGTATCAGTTCTGTCTGATGAGCGACCCTGCAATTGTTTTCTCCAGCACGTTTCTCAATAAAACAACCCCAAACCTAACTGCCTAACAATTTTTCCTCAGGATTGGGTCTATGTCTCATGTACTCACCAAGCCTGGCTATGATTGGACGCTACTTCGACAAGCGGCACGCCACAGCCAATGGGATCGCAGTTTGTGGCACTGGGGTTGGCATCATTGCTCTTCCTCCGCTCTTCCAGTTTCTTATTGACGAGTTCGGGTGGAGAGGCGCTCTCTTGATCGTGGGGGGTTTACTGTCCAATGGCTGTGTTTGTGGGGCCTTGATGAGGCCAATACACTTTGAGGAAGATCGTAGCAAAGATCTAGTCGACAGCGAAGCAAATGGTAGTGAAGATAGAAAAATGACAACCACCCTAGTTTCTATTGGTCAGAAGATCATGGAAACGTTTGACGTCACCTTACTAAAACAGCGCCCTTTCCTTGTCTACAGTGTGTCAGCATTCGGAACCGCCCTGGGCAATTCCATCGTTTTCGTCCACCTTGTAGCCCATGCTCAAAAGATTGGAATAGAAAAGACGCCAGCCGCTTTTCTACTGTCAATCATGGGAATCTCAGAAGCCGTCTCCAGACTGTTAAACGGTTGGCTGTCGGACAGAATAAAGATCAGCAAAGTTTACTATTACATGATTGGCATTACTGGACTGGCTACATCTAACCTCGCCATACCGTTCGCAAATACCTATACGGGTCTTGGGGCGTGTATGGTGTTGTACGGATTTTTCTCGGGTACGTTCTATCCACTAATTGCTGTTTTAGTGCGAAAATACAGCGGAGTGTCCCGCATTTCCAGTGGGCTTGGGTGGGCCTTTGTCTTCCAGGGCGGCGGCTGGCTGCTTGGACCACCTGTTGCAGGTAAGCAGAAATAGCCTCTCTGTGTTTTATTTTAAGGCATGTTAAGTTAGTGCTTCCGTGTGTAGTCTTTTAGAATTGTTGGTTTGCCATACTTTGTACAATTGTACAATTAATTTATGAAGCTCAGTGTTGGTAGTACAATGGTATGATTCAAGAGCATCCAAGGATCAAATTTTCAACAACCACTGTCACCTTCATAAGGATAAGATGACGTGGCCGTTACTCTTACGTGTTTGCGTTCTGATGATGTGATCGATCCTTCTTATCCGAATGAAGGCGACAGTGGTCGTTGAAAATTTGATCCTTGTATACCCTCGTGTTGGAATAAAGTTCAGCATTGTACAATGGTGCTCACTTGAGTTCAGATACGGTATATATATCACATAATAACAATGACTACCATGCACGTTAAGTTGGCAAGTTGGCAGTATCTTGTACATGTAACCCCCTAACTCCTGAACCTAATATGTGAAAATTTTGTCTGTCCCCCAGGTTGGCTGTATGATGCGACTGGAAACTACGACTGGTCTTTCTTCGCGGCTGCCATCTTTATTTTCGCGTCAGTGCTCGTGCTTCTCCTCAACCCGTGCTCAACAACCAGAAGGACACTTGGCCCCGGTACCGGTCAACTTCCAGACCAGTGCGACGGAGTAGTTGTTCTTAGCCACATGCCGCGGGATACCAGTAGTAATGTCGGCCAAATTAACCCGACTTTTCGAGAAAGTTAGGACCTTCTCTGTGTACATGTGTATGGGGCATTCTAAAGTGCAAGCAACTGTGCATAAAGTTCTGTAGATATGGTTTTGTAACATTTTGCAGAAAGGAGAAACGGGCCTATGCCTTTATAACTGTATCTCAATTCGAGGCGCGAGAATATAGTAGACATGTGTAAAGTTTGCCACAGGCTTCATCCATGTGTGTCTATCATCAAAACTCAATGTCAGTGACGACGGGGTCAATCTAGATTCTTTAGGAACCTATAAATGCATGCGCAGTGTGTTTTGTGCAGTGTTGATGCAAGTCGGAGGGGCCGTACAATCCGGGTGGTGCAGGGTGGTGCCTCATTGATATGCAAACGCCCCACCTAAAGAGCCAAATATATATGCAAAAATATAGGTCTGGAGAGTATACTTATGGTGTACATGAATATCAATATCTACGACTATATGTATATATATATATATATATATATATATATATATATATATATAGAGAGAGAGAGAGAGAGAGAGAGAGAGAGAGAGAGAGAGAGAGAGAGAGAGAGAGAGAGAGAGAGAGAGAGAGAGAGAGAGAGAGAGAGAGATGTATTACTCCACGGTATATTGGTATGTTTGAATACATAGGTATATTTATATATTGCTATATCTATGTTGTCTAGCTACTATATACATCGATGCCATAACTATCTATATGTATCTATCTATATATGTATTCGAGTATATATATCCATATCAATCCATTTATATAATATACGTGTTGCTTCGAAGTAAAATATTACTCCGTTATACTTACTATAGCTAAAAACTGGAATTTCCGTGTAAATTCGGGAATAAACCTTACTTGTCATTTTGATGTGTAATTTACAAGAAGTTGTTGCATATTACCTTTGCCTGAAAGGTCATTTTTTAGGATCCGTTATTGCGTTTTACAATTACAAATACAATTGATTGTTGGCGAAGGTCATGGAACTCTAGTACCTACAGCTCGCGCAAACGTTGACCTCTGACCGGCAACGTAAATACAACAGGTTCAAAGTTGACATGCAAAAATGGCGTTGGTGTGTCGTATGATGCCTACATGTACGATGTAAAGGTGGCTCGATCACACTCGAGAGTTCACGGTGGACTGCTTCAACAATCTAGAGAAAGGTAGTGAGCTCTGTTAACGTTCTGTAGCGTCTTCTTCTACCTTATGTAACAATTTTATTCACTCTTCAACAGATTTAGGTCGCCGTCACGGTAGTACGTTGGCGAAGACTTGACGGTTGACTCACTCGTCCTCGAGTATAGAAATCATTACGTTTGGTGAATATGTGAGTACACGTAGTAGGTCCTGGCTGTTTCATGCCCATGTGCTTGCTCTATCCAATGGCTTTAACACTAGATAAGTCGTCTCACTCGTCTGCTCTATCAACATTGTATGGCACTTCCGGGTACCAGTCGTTCCCCAATGACCAGTGACCGGGGTTGCTGCAAAGTGGGTAAGAACTTGAACCAAATCTCTTGGTTCGCAAACACGGCAACGTATGGAGCCGGAGAAGCTTTCAACTCGACACTGGAATCTTTTCAAGTACGTGGCGTAATTGTTTACTTTCAACGCGGTCTGTTTCTTTTCTTTGTCAGAGGCCGGCCAACAACAAAGGGCATGCCAAAGGTGCGCTTCGTTAAAAGGCCGCCAGATGGCGGTTGGGGTTGGGTGGTTGTGGCAGGCACGTTCTTCATACATGTCCTAGTTCCCGCCTCCACCCTAGCCTTCGGAGTGTTCTTCGCAGAGTTCCGGGAAGTTTTCCAGCAGGGTGCCGGCCTCACGTCCCTCATCAGTTCTATCCTAGGCGCTGTTCTGTTGATGTGCTGTGAGTATATACTTGACATTAAGTGCATATTTGAAATGATAACTTTTTGGCTGAGTACTAGTGTGTTTGTGACTTCTGGTTTGAAACTTAACTGATGTATTTGAGTTCTATAATTGGACCAACAGTAACGTGACATTGCCACGTTCAACTTTAATCCTAAATGTGAATGATTCACTTTTAGATTATCTTCCAGCTCCCTTTGCCGGTGCCATGAGCAACCTGACCAGCTGCCGTACTGTGATCATCGCAGGGGGCGTCATTTCTGCCGTGGGGCTTGTCGTCAGCTTCTTCGCACAGACGATGATACACCTGTTCTTCAGCGTGGGCATCCTCACGGGTCAGTGCTATATTCCAATAAAAGCAAATGGTGTGAAGAAGGGGAGAGGAACACCAGATATTTTCTAAATTTGGAAAGGAGAAATTATGAACAAAAAAACATTACTGAAATCATAAAAGAAGACGATACAGTTATTACAAACGCAAAAGAAATTTTGTTATTACAATCTGAATATTATAAAAATATGTACACATCATACGACTGTGACCTAAATAAGACAGATTTTATACCTTTCTTTCAATGTGAAAACTTACCAAATTTGTCTGATATAGAAAAAAACAAGTGTGAAGGGGAAATTCTTAAAAGTGAGCTTAACATTGCTTTACAGCAACTGAATAGGAAAAAAAATAAATCTCCAGGAAGCGATGGATTAACAACGGAATTCTACGTGCACTTTTGGCAGTATTTAGAAAAAGACCTTCGGTTTGCTGCAAATTATTCCTTTCGCAAAGGCGAATTACCAGTATCACTGAAACGAGGCGTCATTCATCTAATACCCAAAAAGGATAGCGACTTAAGAAAACTTGGAAACTGGCGCCCTATAACACTTTTAAATGTGGATTATAAACTCATAAGTAAAACTTTAGCGAATAGGATAGAACCACTTTTGCCAAAATTAATACATCCAGACCAAACTGGATTTATTAAAGGAAGACAAATAGCCACTAATATAAGACATATTGCTGATGCAATGGAATACACAAAAATGTACAATTTGCCAGCCCTTGCCTTATTCATCGACTTTCAAAAAGCCTATGATACAATTGAGCGTAAAGTTATTTTTAAAACATTGGAAGCAATGAATTTTGGAAAAAACTTCATAGACTGGGTTAAACTACTGTACAAAAATGCCATTAGTTGTGTTCTTAATAATGGTTTCTCGTCTCCATGGTTTGACATCAGTAGAGGAGTAAGGCAAGGTGATCCACTTTCAGCATATTTATTTAACTTAGTGATAGAAGTAGTAGCTACAAGAATAAGGGCCGATTCCTCTGTTGAAGGCTTATCAATCTATGGCTGTAAGAGAAAACTATCCATGTATGCTGATGATTTAACTGGCCTTGTTAAAGATGAAAACTCTGCTAAAACATTACTAGACATTTTAGAAAATTTTAAACTATGTAGTGGCTTGGAGGTCAGCAAGAAAAAACAAAAGCTATGTGGATGGGATCCAACAGACATAGGATTGATGAGCCTTTGGATGTGCTCTGGCCACGGGGGCCTATATATGCACTAGGTACATATTTTTCATATAACCAGGAAGACTGCGATAAGTTGAACTTTGATCATCACCTGAAAGTAATAGAGAAACTGTTAAATGTATGGAGGACAAGAGACCTAACTACAATTGGGAGAATTGTTCTGGTTAAAACACTTGGTATCTCTAAACTTATTTATAATTGTACGGTTTTGCCGGTTCCCGTTGGCTTTCCAGAGAAAGTAAATGGGTATATTTTTAAATTTATTTGGGATGAAAAAAAGCCAAAGGTGAAAATGAAGACGGTGATAGGGAAGAAAGACCAAGGTGGTCTAACCATGGTGGATTTTTCTATTAAATGTAAAGCCCTTAAGGCGACATGGATTAAGAAACTTGAGAAAAGTGAAAGTTGTGCATATATGTTTAGTAAGTGGGGTGGGAAACTATTATTTAAATGTAACTTTGATACATCATGTTTAGAACTGTCTAATTTACCGATGTTCTACTGTCAAGTATTGCAGGCGTGGCAGTCGATTGCGCAATCAGTTCCCAAATCTAAAGACGACATAAGTAAACAAATTATTTGGAACAATAGATATATATTAGTAGGCGGGAAATCTGTATTGCACAGTCGGTGGTGCCAAGCTGGTATTTTGAAAATATGTGATGTTACGTCAAGTGATGGTAACTTCCTGACATTGGGTGAGCTGGCTCAGAAATATGAAATAACTTTTACACCAGTGGATATGCTTAGATATTCTAGCCTGAAATCAGCTATTCCTAATGTTTGGAAAGATACAGTAAAGAAGGATCAGCTTGATAACTCGGTGGAAGAAACCATCGATTCACATACTTTTTCTTGTAAGCAGTTGTATGACATGTATTTAAAACAAACATTTGAACCCCCGACGGGCCAAGACGAATTGTTAAAAACTTTTGAACATGAAAACAACTTAAAAAATGTGTATTTACTACCTTTCATATGTACTAAGAATGTTAAATTACAGTATTTTCAGTATAAGATAATACACAGATTTTTGCCGACAAATTGTTATTTAAAGAAAATTAGAGTTAAAGACTCGGACAAATGTCCTTTTTGCGATAGTAAACAAGATCTAAGTCACTTATTTGTGGATTGTAGTTATGTTACTAAATTTTGGAATGACTTTCGCCTATGGTGGCTCGACACTTGTTCTGAACATATCGCACTAACAAGAATTGTTATATTGTATGGTATAATCGACAAGATGGAAAAAAATAGACACCTGAACCACTGTTTACTTTCTGCAAAATATGACATCTATAAGAGTACAGCATTGAATAAGAAACCCCATTTTTGTAATGCATTATTTTCATGATTTTCGAGACAAACATTCTTCGTAAAATGTTACAGCACAAATATGTATTCTGTGTATTAGTATATTTGTATTAAGGGGCTTGCCACACTGTTTCCTATTTACTGTACGTACATCTCTTACTTAAACGAATAAAAAAAAAAAAAAAAAAAAAC